ATTTTCAAACGTTGTTGCGCACACAAATGATTTAGAAGAGACAAAGTGCACAACAAAGAAAGATTGTTCAAAACTAATATGTCTGGGCTCAGTAACATGTGATAAGGGAATTTGCAGATGTGTAGACATAAGTGCAAACAATTTAGAAGAGACAAAGTGCACAACAAAGAAAGATTGTTCAAAACTAATATGTCTTGGCTCAGTAACATGTGATAAGGGAATTTGCAAATGTGTAGACATAAGTGGAAACAATTTAGAAGAGACAAATTGCACAACAAAGAAAGATTGTTCAAAAGTAATTTGCTTTGGTGACTCAGCAATATGTGATAAGGGAATTTGTACATGTTTAGACTGAAGCATAAATTTGCGTTGACTTGCTTGACGGGTTATATGTCTTCAAGGAGTATGCATCTGTCAATGTAAGAATTGATGATATTCAACACAATTGAGTATCAAATTAATTAATTAATAAAATAATCATTTACTTTTTTGATGATTTGGAGCTTTTAATTTATTAACACCATTCATAGTATGTGCAGTATTTGAGGTTTTGAATTTAAAGTTATTGAGATTGATTCCTTTTCATTTGTTATTTATGAATTGACCGACCTCATTACATATTAACAAAAAGAATCTATATATATCTATATATCTATCTATATATATATAAAAATAAAATCCCCCTTCTAACATTTTCCCGCTCAAACTCATTATATTAATTATGGTAATAGAATTAATCATTAATCATTAATCATTGAATAATATGGCAAAAAACGGAATATTGCATAAAGTATCATAATATAGAATAATTAATAATTAGAATAATATTATTATGGTAATACACAATAATATGGTCATTATATATTTAATCCAATTACTCCAATAACAGGTAGTTAGCATATATATGGGTATTACCGTGTATATAAAATATATAGGTAGAAAAGTTGTTAGGATGGTATATTAAGCAGAGTAATAGGTGTAGTATTTATTAGAAGTTATTTTAGTAAAAATAATTTATTTTATTAATTAAGCATATATATTTTCGTAAAATTAGCAATCAATTATTATTACATATTATATATTTCGTAATTCTCTTCTCCCACCTCCACTCTATCCTATGCGCAAAGCTCAAGCGCTTACGTCTGTTGTACATCAACCACTAGCGGACGCCGTAGATTTCTAATTCTATTATCATTTTGTGTATGTCTTATGAGACGTCGTTCCTTCTGGGCCATAGTTTTTCTGGCTTTATTTCATCTTGCTTTTAACATTGCAGCAGATGACGAGTTGTAAGGAGAGAAACAAAGGTTGATATGTGATTTTCACGGGTGAATTTTTCATTATCTTAGTTTTTTTTTTTTTTTTCTTTGTGGGTTTTGTGTGTTTTTTCCCTTAGATTTCTTCTACTATCATTTCGTGTATATCTTATGCAACGTCGTTCTTTCTGCGCCATAGTTTTTATGCATTTAATTCATCTTGCTTTTAGCGTTGCAGCAGATGACAGAGTTGTATGGGGAGAGACAAAGGTTGATACGCAATTTGCATGGGTGAGGTTTTTATTATTTTAGTCTTTTATTTTCTGTTTTGGGTTTTGTGTGTTTTTTTGTGCATTTTCTGATTTTTAAACAAGAAAAGTTGTTCATAAGAAAAAACAAATTTTTTTTTTGTTTATTTGTGGAAAAGATACGGATCTAGAAAGATTGACCGGGAAACAGTAGAGTTCTTTGTTCATCAAATCGAAAAAATTTGGAGTGTGACGGATTCTCTCTATATGTAAACATATAGAGAGGGAAGCATGATAGGATCGGAATATTCAGAAGAAGGTGGTGGAAAGTTGTTCCTCTTCATCAGATGAAGATACTTCTTCTAATTCTGATGAAGAATTAAAGGTCGGTTGATTAAAATATCTCTGTATGTGCATGCTTGAAAGTACCATTTACTGTTGTATGCTTTTATTGACATAAATTTAATTTCCTGTCATTAGATTCTTATAAAAATCATTATTCTTATTTTTATTTTTTTTTTTGCTTTTGTTTTTAGAGTATGGATTATTTGTTTCATTCAATGTTAAAAAAAAAAATTGTGAGTTTGTGCTTTAAGTAGTGATAGGTATTTAATGGTGTTTTTATTGTTGTCAGAAACTCGCTCTTAAAACTATAGTTGCACCTAAGAAATCAGTTTGACAAATCTAAAATCTTGTGTGTTATGTATGAATGATTTTATTTTTATTAATAGCATATATTATGATATGATTAATATTATTAAAGTAAGAAATTTATATATGATAAATTACTAAATATAAGTATGGTAACATTTATTTAAAATTTAATGAAATTAAAATATAATCCTCATATGTGGTTTCCCGCCCAAACTTTTATTAATATAAAGTTATTTTTGTCCCTAATATTTTTTTTCCAACTTTATTTAGTTATTTGACTATTCTTGCAATTTTAGGACTTTCTGGATTGAGAGGTGGTTGAAAGTACTATTGGAACTTTGGAGCGTAGCAAGCAATGTGATGCTAAGGATGGTAGATCTGTTAACTAATTGACTAATTGATATGTATTTAAAAAGAATAACTGACTAAGAATAAAAATTGTACGGAAATTAAGTCAATTGAAAAAGGAAATGAATGTTAATAATTGATTGAAAATTAAAAATGATCCAAAATTAACTGAAATAAAGAAGGAAATGGTCAAACTGTCCAAACAATAATATATATAAATTGGAAAAGGAATCTGTTTTTAATATTTGACTGGAAATATTAAAAAATAATTTGTTATTAATAATTAACTAATTAACATGAATTAAAAAAATAATTGATTGAGAATAAAAATGACACAAAAATTAGGCCAATTGAGAGAAAAAAAAAACTAATATTAATATTTGATTACAAATTAAAAATATCCTAAATTGACTCCCATGGAAAAAGAAATACCCAGAGTCCTAGACCACTCAAACAATAGTATAGATAAATTGAAAAAGATATCCGTTATTAATAATTGATGACTGGAAATATTAAAAAAATAATCTGTTATTAATAATTAACTAATTGATATGTAGTAACAAAAAAATAATTGATTGAGATAAACATTTGATACGAAAATTAGGCCAATTAAAAAAGGAAATAAATAATAATTTTTTTGAAAGGGGAAATAAATAATAATAATAATAATAGATTAAAAATTAAAAATTAAAAATGATCACCGATTAACTATTTCGAATAGGAAACCAATTAACTATAATATAGGTATTATTATATGGGATACATATGAATCCGAGCTCATTGATTTCTCAGATGCAAATTATATCATGCACCGGGTGCATAATCGATTATGCACCGCGCATCAAAACGACGTCGTTTTATTTAATGAAAAGAAACAGAATCTTCGCAAAAAATGACTTTGTTCTTCAGTTTCATTTTTGTATACACTGCAGTTTCAGTTCAACACAACTACAGTTTCGTTTTGATATAACTACAGTTTCATTCAATATTTAAACACTCAACTATGTGAAAATGTTATTTGATTTTATTTTATAGACGCTATAGTTTCATTAAAACACAACTACATGATCATTTCAATATAATTACAGCTTCATTGTACAATATACACTCAAATATGTGAAATGTCCAGTTTTCATTTTATATATACAAATGTCGTCTACAAATAGGTTTCAATAATGTGTAAATATAACCGGTGATATTATGTTTTTTAATGGAAAAATTGCTATATATCTAGACAAAAAATATATTTTCCATACAAATGAATTATGATATCAATTCATTCCTATAACTGAGTTGCTAGAGAACGGGCACATTTGCCTAATTTATAAAAATACTGAACAATGATAAATAAAATCTCCAAAGTTACAACACTGCATGCGTACATCTACACATTAGCTATTAATTTGAGTAATTATTTGCTCAAATTCAAGCATTGATAACATAAAAACACATAAACGATCCAAACCATACCTTCAATTGCACTATATAATATTTGATGTTCTAATTTAAATAATTATATATCGATCCAAATATTCTTAATATATTATAACAAATCCATTCCGTGCATCGCACAGGCGCAAATACTAGTATACTTAATATTAGAATAGTGTAAAGGAATATACTTAATATTTGAATAATGTAATATCATGCAGTAAATTTAGGATCAAGAGTGGAATTTTACTTCAATTTAATTCTGTGATGACAATCCTTTATTAATATTATTAGATGTAAGTTTTAGTATCATTTTGATTCGGTATTTAATTATTTATTTAATTTATTGTAATTAATAAAATTCATAATTTGATAGTTTAATCAAATAATTAGATGAATTTATGAACGATGACAATATTCATGCTTGCAAAGTTGAATTGTAATTATCATTTTATGATTTTTTTTTTAAATCTTTGTCAGAATTAAATTTTTTTTAGAAAATACAAATCGTTATTTGGGTAGTTTTATTTTTATTTTTATTTTTATTTTTATTTTTATTTTTGAAAATAAAAGGCTAATTCATTAATCATAAGCATAAACGTTTAAATACAAATCGTTATTTGGGTAGCCTTTTATTATAAATGTTTTTTTTTTTAAATCAAAAATTTCAATTTTAGTGATTGACTATTGTGGTATTGTCACATTTAGACACTACTGGAAATTATGAAATTTGCGACCACCTGAAAGTGATCTTAAATCAAGTCAAAAGCTTTGTTTCGACCATTTTTGGTATCCGAAAAAATCTTTGTTACTATTTTCGACCACTTTTTACTTTAAACTTGATTTAAGATCACTTTCAGGTGGTCGGAAATGATGCAGGATAAGAGGAACAAGAAGAACACAAACAATATAACTCAAACTCAAAGACTTTTAATAATATTCAAACTTGAACTTCTCAATACAAAAGTCTGTTTAAATAGACAATTAAGATAAAGTGAAGAGTTGCAAATATTAAAAACATGCATGGGAACTATAAAATAAACATAATTAGAATTAGAAATACTAAAAAATATTTAATGCTAATTCAAATTTCCCATAAAAAGTAGTCACCAAACTCCATATCCCTTGAACTTGATGCATGTTGAAAATTTGCATTTCCTCAGTTTAAGGCTATTATTAGAGATAATCGACTGATGTACTGGACTGACTGATTCAGAGACGTGTATTGTCAGTCATTCAGTTAGAATGAAGATTAGTTGTAGAGAAAAAGCTAAAGCAGATGATAAATCAACACATACAATGTTTACATACCCAGTTCGATACAATGTGTAACTACATCTGGGGACGATCACCGAGGCGTCCAATCCACTAACTCATAATCCAATGTACAAAGGTAGAGAAACAACAATCTCACCCAAGTGCCCCACACAAGGTACGTACCTAGTCTACAAAGGTTTAGTGGATTGTTGAAGTTGGAGAGCCACGCATGTAGAAGTCCAATGAAATCCCTTAAATTGGAGAGCTAACTCTGATGCATTCCGCTTCAATGACGCAGTCCCACGTTGTTCCCACAACTGAGTGATCTTCGCGTCCTTTCGATTAAACAACTTTAATTCTTCTCAAGTTCTTCATCATAATTACCAAGAACTTAATATCTTGAGAATAGACATACCAATCAAAGATATGAGTTCCTGTATGGTATTGAGTGTTTTTGTCTTCGTAAACACATAACCCTAATTCTTGATCGAATAAGGATACTTATACTTCCTTGGTAAGAACACACTCCAAAAATATCTTTGATTGTAGATGGTAGGACGATTTGTGAAGAATGCAATATTTAAGATTCTGTCCATACCTTCCAAAACAGATCCGCTGAAATTCTTTCCAAAACCGTCTTCACGAACCGCGTTCAGTATTTTGGAAACTTCTCCCTTTAACAGATCTTCAGTGGCAGAGCGTTTGTTGATAACACTGATTAATCAGTCTTCTATAAGAGTAAACAGACACCAAGCTAAACCCTATCTTAATTTGCCATAATAATATTGCCAATTATATGTTGGGGTTTTGAACAAAATAAAACACTAACACATGTTACCATTGTTTTACTATTTTCTCAATTCTTGTTCGGCATCACGAAATTTCATAATTTCCAGTAGTGAGATACTCCGTATATCTTTTTAAAGCACAAACAATTAATTAAGTAAAATTAAAGCACAAGTAACTCGCTTCTGTTCCTGGAGAGAACATGCCACTTAAATGTGCCAATACTCCATACACACTAAAAAGTGTCATGAAACCAGGGGCGGACCTACAGTGAGGGCAGTAGGGGACGCTACCCCCACTACTTACCCCACCCCCACCCCATATGTAGCCCTTGTATGTATATATGTATATATGTATATATGTATATATACATGTTTTAGATATAAATATTAAAAAACAGATAAAAGTAACTAATAGATAGTTCGAGCGAGTTGGAAGGGACTGGGGTTCGAATCCTTGTTGTTTTTCAATACAATGTATTCGTGATTTTTAATTCCTTTGGCTTTATGACATTTCATATATATATATATATATATATATATATATATATATATATATATATATATATATATAGATTTTGATTCGTGTGAGGTCATGTCTTCCCGTGCGGTCAATGCGGCATACACCATTAGGTATGTATAAATGCACCATACAGTGTTCGAAAATACACAAGAATGAAATGTCAAAAAATACACCACAAAAAAAAAAAAAAAAAAAAAAAAAAAAAAAAAAAAAAAAAACACCACACATAGTGGTGTATTTACAAACACTGTGTGGTGCATTTTGCATACCTAATGGTGTATGCCGCACTGACCGCACGGGAAGACCTAACCTCACAGGAACCTGACCCTATATAAATAAATAAATAAATATATATATATATATATATATATATATATATATATATATATATATATATATGTGTGTGTGTATATATATATATATATATATATATATATATATATATATATATATATATATATATATATATACACACATATATATATATATATATATATATATATATATATATATATATATATATATATATATATATATATAATTTTTTTTATATTAATAATGAGATGTGTAATTTTTTCATATTTTGTTATGAGTATTTTTATAAAGTTTTAATTTGTTTTATTTTTCACCTATATCCAATAATATTTAATTACTTATGACTATATTTCTTGAGTGTTTCATTGTTTTTTAAACTATAATGTTTCGCCCCCACTAGACAAAATTTCTGGGTCCGCCACTGCATGAAACAACCAGTGAATAGTCCTGCACAATCGCAAAACTAAATAAATAACATTAGTTTATGCCTATTATTCTATATAGTAAAAGATAGCATTTGTTGATTACAGTCACTTTGTGGCCCGTATTGATAGCTCTAGCTACCACCATGGTGTCCGTCTTATTTTGATGTCATTGATTTTTGTATGGAAAATGGGTTTCCACCCATCATCATCATTAGGCGCCCGGTTTTTTTAATTAAATTTTTTTACAGCCTTGATAATTATAAAATATTTAATACGTTAATAGTTAATACTAAAATATTAAATATTAACCTAAAAAACGACTAGAATTGTATATTGTATAAAGATTTAAAGAATAAAAACACAACTCCAGAAAGTCACAACTCACAAAGTATCAATATTAATTAGAGTAGTTGATTTCAATTTTTATAATACATTCTTTTGGCTTTGCAACCGATTTAAACGATTTAGGATTATTTCACATCACGAGTTGCCTTCTCCTCCATTGATTCGCCAGTTGTCGATCACTTTATTATCGGAAATATCACCAGAGTTGGTCGGAATATTGTCCGAAACCCTAGTGACCTGTGATAGTAGGTCACTAACTGGTTTTTGAACTTCATTGTACCAAAATACAATGTTGATGAGATTAATTGCTACTTCAAAAAGTTTAAAGGCCTAATTGACTTCTTATGTAATGTTCGAAGGCTTATTTGACTCTTTTCTCTTGATAAAATATATATTTTTTTAAAAAGAAGAAAGTTTGTATTTCAAATTAATAACATTCATAAACACACCATTATTTAATTAAACGAAAAATGCATTATAAACCCAATATACGAAACTCAATTAAAATATAGGACCTCAACAATGACAAATCACTCTGCGTTTTAAAATTTTTGTTATACTATTTAATTAAAACATTTTAAAATATACAAGAAATATATTATTTAACTCATAATTTTATAATCGCCTATTTGTGTCCTCTTGCTCCTGCAAGAATATAATTTAAAGAAGAGAAAATAGTCATTATACTACCAACATACAATTATGAAGAAAAAAAATAGAATAGTGAAGACCGCATGCATAGTATTGATAAGACCGCATGCATAGTATTGATATAAGTAGGCCGTGCTATGTCAATTAGATCCAGCTCCACATGGACAAACACTAATGTCAATCGTTATATCGTGAACCAGGGCGCAAGGCTTAAAACGACGTCGTTTTTTATGTTAATTTTATGTGTATTATGTTAAAAGTTTATGTGTATTTTGTTAAGAGTTTATGTTTATTACGTTAAGAGTTATTCTGTTAAGAGTTTATGTGTATTTTATGTATTATGTTAGATTATGTGTATTATGTTATGAGTTTACGTATATTCTACTATATAATTATATATATTCGAAACATGATTTTTTTTTAAAGTTAACGGCGGAAACGAGAAACAGAATTTCTTAAATAAAAAAAAAAAATATAAAACAACGTCGTTTTGGCCAGGGTGCACGATATAATTTGCCCACTAATGTGGATTGTGTTGTACAAGCTCACATTAGAATATAGGGCAAATTATTACGTGGACCCGGGACTAAAAATACATAATTTACATATTGAATGTTCACAATTTAAATTGTAAACATTTAATATGTAAATTGTGAACATTTAATATGTAAATTGTACGTGTTTTTGGACATGGTTCACTTTGCAATGTCGACCTAGGTATTTTGTCTAACACAAATATTTTGTCTAACATATTTCCTGTATGGCTCATGGGTGCACTCAATATTTTGACAGAGGAGCAATGTGGTTTCTTGATTGCTATGCTCTACCACCTTTGGAATGCTCGGAACACGGCGGTATGGGAGAGCAAGTTACTGCGCCCCGGCCCACTATGGTGACGAGCCGCCGCTGTCATGAACTCGTACGCTCAGCTACACCGGCGACTACCTCGGTAGTCAGCGGCAGTAGCGGCCACTGACACGGCGCCGACTCTTCCGATGTGCTACGTAGATGCGGGTTTTCGGCCATCCACGGAGAAGCCACTTGCGCCGCGGTTCTTCTCTCGCAAACCGAAACCTTTTTGGCCGCCACGAATGGACATCTCCCGGGATGCTTTTCACCACTAATGGCTGAAGCACTTGCATGCAAGGAAGCTTTATCTTGGCTCAGAGACCGGAATGTGACAGATGTGAATCTCTTAACAGACTGCTCGGAACTACGGAGCTCATTACTCCAGGCTCCCACATCTATTCGATCCTATGTTGGTGTCGTCATGGACCAATGTAGGACGTCTTTATCTTTATTTAGTCATTGTTCGCTACATGTTATTATTTCTAGGTCTGTTAATTTACATGCTCATACATTAGCTTCAGTAGCTTTTGATCAGGATCACTCTATGTTTTGAGACTCTGTCTCCCCTGACTCTATTGCTCCTTTCATTCATTAATATATGGATACGACCTTTATTTCAAAAAAAAAAAAAAGTACGATAAAGGCGTTGACTTATATTTACTCTTTTATTTCTTGCATAGACTTAAAAATTAGATTGTGCATAATTGCATTGTTGATGTTTAATAACTTGAAGTCAAAAAAAAAAAAAACAAAAACAAAAAAAAAAAAAAAAAAAAAAAACAAAGAAGATAATGCATGTAAGCTAAAGATGGATCGGATAAGAAGTTACCCAGCAAAAGTTTGATGTGTAGAACTAATTGTCATATTATTGTTGAAAGGCACAACATACACAGCACTTGTATAGAACCATATAATTAAACCAAACCAAACATGAGAAGAGACACTACAAATCCTCAAGAAGGAATAGACGAAATCCAAATAAAAGGACCGGTGTGGAAACGAGCAGCCCTCGTAACCATATGAGCCAACTTGTTCACTGATTTAGGAACGAACTTAACGAACACTACATCAAAGTGTCTTTGATATTCCCACACATACTATTATTATTCTTATTAATTATCAAATTAAAATGCAATGTAACCACCACACATTACTATCCCTTACCCAAAAAGAAAAATGCAGAATTCAATCAATGCTTACCAGTTTTAGGTGGGGCAGACAATCTGGAAGAAGAAGAGGGAAAGATAAAGAGAAATGTGAAGAAAAGAAGAATAGAGAAATGGGAAGTGGGCTTATGAGCCATGGCATGCAATGCAAGACAGACAATAATGAAGCAAAAATATCTGTTAGCAAATTGAGGAACCATTTTATATAATAATTTGCTACGAAATCGGAAATCCCTACCTAAGTGCTTCGTCAATATTTAGACTCTTGAAAAGTGCCTTCGCAATTCACGACCAAAAAGAATGATTTGAATAGCCACATTTTTGTAGAAAAACGAACCGAACTACTTGAAACACGTTTTAAATGTCAAAAGTCAAATGAATTGACTTTCTTACTACATCTTTATGTCATTAAGGAGGGTAACTTCAGCCAAAATGACTAAGGATACAGACTTGTATTTACATGGTTGTGTGTTCAAATCTCGATCTTCTTGATTAAAGTTGGTGCAACTATGGACAATCTAGGGTGTCTTATCTCTTTGTAGTCCTTTACCGGCTGGAATCACAAGGTGAGATTTATCCCGTGCATACGAAAAACAAATAAAGGAGATAAAATCGCAAGATGTTCTTTGATTGGCCTACAAGCCTCCTAATATTTGTAAATTAATACTCACAAAAAAGTCAAATTCATACATCCCTTTAATTCTTGGTAGATTTTTTTTTTTTTACTTTTTTTTTTCGCTAGAAGGGGAGATTCTTACAAACCAAGCTATTCTAACCGTTAAAATTAGTTAGATATAGTTAATGACTATTTAAATTGGATCACAATTTTTATTTTTGTATTACTGATTCTGCTAAAATGCAGTATTTTTTTCATAATTATTTTTTCAACCTACTAAAGCACGAAGAGTTAATATCATCTCCACTGAGGCTCGAACCCGCAACGGTGCAACCTCCCACCTATGGGAGAGCAACTTAATGGATCACTATTATTCTTTTGTGAGAATTAAAATGTGGTGCATTTGTAATAATTTGATTAATTAAGAACTAAAATTGAAATTAATTCTAAATTTTACTTTGAGTTTCACATATATATTTTATTGTATTCAAACAATGTTTGTTGAACTTTTGGAGTGACATTATGAGTCAAAAATGATGCTAAAATTTTCATCACTATGGATGCAGAGGGAACATGAATGTCAAAAATATCATCTAAGTCTGGCATTAATTGTTTTATATAAAAATTTTTTTAAAGTGTATTTATTAGTGGCATTTTGCGGAGTGAATTTGCATCCAATCTGCTAATTAAATGCGAATTTAAAATTTCTTATCTGCATCCACATTCGCAAGGGATGTAAATCTAATAAAATTATATCAGTCAATGGTACAGTGAATTTTAAGTTTAAAAAAATAAATTAAATTATAATATAGTAATTACAAAATAATTAATTTTAAAAAACTTGCAAGGAAAATGAATTCTGTTGCAACGTATTTCGTTGCATGGCAATTTTTGCAATAATATTATGTTCCGTTATAAATACGTTACAAATATCGTTAAATCGAATGTTTAAAAATTAATAAAATTTTGCAATGAAATTGACAGTCGTTGCAAATTCAATTGCAACAATTACAACGAATCTTGGTTTTCATTGCAAATTTTATTGCAAAAATGTTTCCCTTCATTTTTTTGAGCAAAAATTTACACTTTCGTCAAAATTGCAATGAAATTTTTTTCTGTTGCAATGGAACTCCGTTGCAATTTTTGATAAAAATATCACAAGGTGCTATTTTTTATTTTCTTTTTTTTTTTTTTAAAAGAAAGTTTGTATTTAAAATTAATAACATTCACACCATGCATTATTTAATTAAACGAAAAATGCATTATAAACCTAATATACAAACTCAACTAAAACATAGGACCTCAAGAATGAAAAATTGAACCTAATATCCGAAATTCAACTGAAACATAAGACCTCAAGGATGACAAATTAAATCTCTCTCGTGAGTTTTAAAATTCTTGATATACTATTTAGGCAATTATGCTTATATAGAAAAAAACTATTAAATATACATTTTATACGTTCAAATCATATGTAAGTTGGTAACAATAATTTTAGGTGTCATGATTAGTATTGCTAAATTGGTAGGAAATAATCCTTATATAGAAAAAATTATTAAATATACCTTTTATATTGTTGAAATCGTAAATATCATTTTAGATTATGATTATATATCGTTTATAACGTTTCAGTTATATTTACATATTTTTATTACGATTTTATACCTTTTATATCGTTCCAATCATAAATATCTTCTTTACTATATATATATATATATATATATATATATATATATATATATATATATATATATATATATATATATATATATATATATATATATATATATATATATATGGTCAGTTGAGCTCTAAATGAAAGTATATTGACTTGTAAGTTAAACGTATACAATATGGAGAAGACACCATCTCGCTTAGTTCTTTTAGCAATTTTTTGCATTTTCATATTAGGTTTGATTCTCTTCCTTCTCTACCACATCCATCTTTATATGCACACAACACTTAGTTTTTTTTTTTATTTTTATTTCCACATGAACCATGTTTAGTTGTTTTGTAACTTTAATTTCATATGGAAATGGAAATTTTTCATAATCGTAGATACAACGTCTTATCGACATTATAAAACTGATCTATTAATTTTATTGATTATCAAAATGTATGTTTAACACATTTTTCTTGTAGGTTCAAAATTTTCAAACGTTGTTGCGCACACAAATGATTTAGAAGAGACAAAGTGCACAACAAAGAAAGATTGTTCAAAACTAATATGTCCTGACTCAGTAACATGTGATAAGGGAATTTGCAAATGTGTAGGAGACACAGGTGCAAACAATTTAGAAGAGACAAAGTGCACAACAAAGAAAGATTGTTCAAAACTAATATGTATTGGCTCATCAGTAACATGTGACAAGGGAATTTGCAGATGTGTAGACATAAGTGCAAACAATTTAGAAGAGACAAAGTGCACAACAAAGAAAGATTGTTCAAAACTAATATGTCCTGGCTCAGTAACATGTGATAAGGGAATTTGCAAATGTGTAGGAGACATAAGTGCAAACAATTTAGAAGAGACAAAGTGCACAACAAAGAAAGATTGTTCAAAAGTAATTTGCTTTGGTGGCTCAGCAATATGTGATAAGGGAATTTGTACATGTTTAGACTGAAGCATAAATTTGCGTAGACTTGCTTGACGGGTTATATGTCTCCAAGGAGTATGCATCTGTCAATGTAAGAACTAAGAATTGATGATATTCAACACAATTGAGTATCAAATTAATTAATTAATAAAATAATCATTTACTTTTTTGATGATTTGGAGCTTTTAATTTGTTAACACCATTCATAGTATGTGCACTATTTGAGGTTTTAAATTTAAAGTTATTGAGATTCATTCCTTTTCATTTGTTATTTTTGAATTGACCAACCTCATTACATGTTAACAAAAAGAATATACTTAATATTAGAATACTGTAAAAGAATATACTTAATATATGAATAATGTAATATCATGCAGTAAATTTAGGATCAAGAGAGTAATTTTACTTCAATTTAATTCTGTGATGACAATCCTTTATTAATATTATTAGACGTAAGTTTTAGTATCATTTTGATTCGGTATTTAATTATTTATTTATTGTAATTAATAAAACTCATAATTTGATAGTTTAATCAAATAACTAGATGAATTTATGAACGATGCTTGCAAAGTTGAATTGTAATTATCATTTTATGAATTAAATTTTTTTTAGAAAATACAAATCGTTATTTGGGTAGTTTTTTTTTTTTAAATAAAAATCTAATTCATTAATCATAAGCAGAAACATTTAAATACAAATCATTATTTGGGTATCCTTTTATTAAAATTGTTTTTAAAAAATTTAAAATTTCAATTTTAGTGATTGACTATTGTGAAATTGTCATATTTAGATACTCTGATCCGTATTACCATCCATATATCTTTTTAATTTACCTCGTTGCATCATTAATTTTTATTTACTTACTACAATTAGTCGTCCATTTTAAATTTCACCATTCTATGGTTTAATAATAAAAATTAACATGTAAATTCATCATTCAATTATTGTACAATTTCTTCAACAAAGTGTTAGTAATGTTATATTATATGGTTTATTTGTTTATGGCTATTATTATTGTTGACTAGTCTTAGCTATTAGATAGGAGCTATCAGTGGTAGCTTTCCTATAGGATTCTATCGTGTAATCTGTTTTCCAGTCTAATGTGATTTGCGTTGTTTCACTTGGTATCAGTTAGCGTCAGGCTAGGAATCCTACCCTGTTTTTTCTCCACCACCTAAACATGTCGACAAACTCCTCTGAATGAACCGTAACCACCACCCCTCCACCACACACAACCAGGAATTCCCTTAACGCAGCGCATCACTTTGTCTCAATTAAATTAAACAACCGTAATTTCTTGTTCTGGCGCACTCAGATTATCCCCTTTCTACGTGGCCAAGGCCTTTTAGGCTATATTGACGGCAGCCATGTCTGTCCACCAGCGTTCCTCCCGGCAACGACACAGGCAGCCGGCTCCAGCACCACCGCGGTCGCATCTTCCGAAATCAACCCGGAGCATGCGGCGTGGGTTCAACATGACCAGCTGATTATGTCTCTTCTGATCTCGTCGTTATCCGACGAGGTCATGCCATTGGCGGTTGGCCGGGAAACGTCACGCGAGGTCTGGCTCTCCATTAATGACTCGCTGGCGTCCTCCACACGAGCTAGGTGTCTTAATCTGCTCGGCCAATTTCAGACGCTCCGACAAGGCAGCATGTCGGCCTCGGAGTATCTCGGGAAGGCAAAGATGCTCGTTGAAGCCTTGTCCCTCGCTGGCCATCGACTCACGCTAGACGAACAGGTGCTCTACGTATTGAGCGGTCTTCGCCCGGAATTCCGGGCTATGGCGAGTGCACTCACCGTGACCGGCACACCGGTAACGCTATCTCAGCTCGGCGACCTTCTGCAAGCCCAGGATTTCATCCAGGGAGATGAGTTCTCGATGGAGTCCGGGAATGGCGCTCCAGTCGCCATGTACGCTGGCCGTGGTGGCCAGTCGAGTGGGGGCGCCGAACGAGGTGGCCGGCACAGCAGCAACAATCGCGGCCGTGGGCGAGGAGGCCGGAACTCCGGCGGCCGTGGCCGTGGCAGCCCTCGCTGCCAGATCTGCAGGAGTCACGGCCACACCGCCGTCTTCTGCAACCGGCGCTACACCGAGCCTCCGCCGTCGCCACACGCCCACGTGGCCGTTGCAGGTACTCCACCAGCAGCAGAAACTACCCAGCCGGAGGTCTGGTTTCCGGACACCGGCGCTACCACTCACGCGTCGCCTGATGAAACCATGATTGGGCAATCCGAACAGTACACTGGCGGTGATGTGCTGAAAGTGGGCAATGGGGCAGGTTTGAATATCTCCCGCGTTGGTTGTACAGCAATCCCATCAAATTTTAAATTATTAAATATGTCAGAGGTCTTATTTGTTCCAAATCTGTCATTATCCTTGTTATCCGTTTACCGTTTCACTAACGAAAACAACGTTTTTTTTGAATTTCATAAAGACGTGTTTTTTGTGAAGGATTGCACTACACAGGACATACTCCTTAAAGGCTCCGCGGTAAACGGGCTGTATAAGCTGTTGGTGCCACGATCTCATGTTGCATTTTTAACAGCCAAAGCGTCTCCCACAGTGTGGCATCAACATCTGGGTCACCCTCATAAACAGGCTTTCCAACGGGTTCTTAAACACTGTCCGGTCACGTCAAATAAAGCTCCGGTGTCAGAAATTTGTTCCACTTGTCAACGAGGAAAATCCTCCCGTTTTCCCTTAGATAGAGTGTATACTTCAAGTTCTGAAGTTTTAGATTTGTTGTATACAGATATCTGGGGTCCCTCTCCAGTTATTTCAAATTCGGGCTACCGTTATTTCGTTTTATTTGTAGACGACTGTACTCGTTTTTGCTGGTTTTACCCCTTACGGTTAAAATCAGATATCTATAAAGTATTTAATTTGTTTCGGGCGATGGTAAAACGGCGATTTTCCCGTTCTATCAAAGCCATCCAGTCTGATTTAGGGGGTGAGTACCGTCTCCTACACACCATATTTGAGTCCTTAGGCATCACGCACAGACAATCGTGTGCCTATATCCATGAGCAAAACGGCCGTGTTGAACGCCGGAATAGACACATTGTCGAAACCGGTCTGGCCTTATTAGCTGAAAGCTCCACACCGTTTAAATATTGGGATTATGCGTTTGAAACCGCAACTCAACTAATTAATTGCCTACCTTCGTCTGCCGTGTCATATGAATCACCATACTATTGTCTATATAAAATGCCACCCCCTTACACTTTCTTCCGTGTCTTCGGGTGTAGATGTTATCCGTATTTAAGGCCATATAATCGGCATAAAATCGAATATCGGTCTACACCATGTGTCTTCCTAGGTTACCCAGTTTCTTTTAGGGGATACCGCTGTATGGACTTAACGACGGGAAAGATATTTATCTGTCGTCATGTGCGTTTTGATGAAACCCTTTTCCCGTTTTCTATGCAGACTCCTGTGCAGGTGAATTCAACTCCGGCCCCTACTCCTCCCCCTTGGGGAGCTGGGCCCGTAGTGATAAATCCCAGCAACACCATGGTTCTAGATGAACCCCGATTGCACAGCAGCCGGCCCCCGTGGCTATAGAAGCACCACCTCAGACTGGTGCAAGACGGGGCCGCCCACCGGGCCGCAAAAACAGAACTCGCACAGAAATTGAGGATCATACCATGCGCACTAGGGGTAAAACTCGGGGACATGACGAGCAGTTCTATGCTCTAACTACCTCTGTGGACCCCACTCGCACAATGGCGTGATGCTATGGATCAGGAGTTCAATGCCCTGATGCATAACAATACTTGGCAGCTCGTTCCGGCGTCTCCGAACATGAATATTATCAGCTGCAAATGGGTCTTCAGGACCAAACGCAAGGCTGATGGGACCGTTGAACGCTACAAAGCCCGATTGGTGGCAAAAGGGTTCAATCAGGTCGCTGGGGAAGACTTTTTTGACACCTTCAGTCCCGTAGTCAAGCCGACTACGGTTCGTATTTTGTTCTCTCTTGCAGTGTCACGCAAATGGGTGTTGCGACAGCTTGATGTCCACAACGCCTTCTTGAATGGTCGTCTCTCCGAGACAGTTTACATGAAGCAACCCCCCGGCTACGAGGACCCGTCACACCCAGGTCACGTATGTCACTTGCAACGTTCCTTGTACGGTCTCAAACAAGCACCTCAGGCGTGGTTCAACCGCTTACAAGAGTTTTTGGCATCTACCAGTTTCTTGGCATCCAAAACCGATGTCTCACTCTTTTACTATACAGCGGGCGACTCCCGGGTCTACTTGTTGGTCTATGTTGATGACATAATCATGATGGGCAACGATTCGGCATTAATTGATACCCTTCTTCACCAGCTATCAACAGCCTTTAAGATTCGTGACCTCGGGGTGCCTCACTTTTTCTTAGGGATAGAAATAGTACCTTCTGGCCACGCCCTCCTTAACACCTTTTGAGAACCCAACTCAGTATCGGCGGATAGTAGGGGCTCTCCAGTATTTAACTATTACCAGGCCTGATCTCTCCTACTCGGTGAACAGGTTGTGTCAGTTCAAGCACTCTCCTACAGACGATCACTGGGCTCTACTCAAGCGAGTATTGCGGTACATTAAGGGCACTCAGGACTACGGCCTTCGTTTGTCAGTGTCAGTCTCCTCCGACCTTCATGCTTTCACTGACTCGAATTGGGCTGGGTGTCTTGTCGATCGCAAGTCTACTAGTGGCTATGCTGTGTTCTTAGGTGACAATCTTGTTTCATGGGTCTCCCGCAAGCAGCGTACTGTCGCCAGGTCTTCCACAGAAGCCGAGTACAAGGGGCTGGCTGATGTTGTAGCCGAGGTTACTTGGGTTGTCTCGTTACTCCGCGAGCTAGGGTTACATTCCGGTACACCAGCCACTCTATGGTGTGACAACCTAGGTGCCACTTACCTAGCCGCGAATCCAGTTTTCCACGCCCGCACAAAGCATGTTGAGATCGATTATCACTTTGTCCGGGACAAAGTCGCTTCTGGGGAGTTCGTTGTCAGTTTTGTCTCGACTAAAGACCAGCTCGCCGACATCTTCACTAAACCTCTACCAGCTCCGCGTTATCAGGCTCTGCGGGACAAGCTCAATGTTGTCGCCCTCCAACCTTGTGCTTGAGGGGGTGTGTTAGTAATGTTATATTATATGGTTTATTTGTTTATGGCTATTATTATTGTTGACTAGTCTTAGCTATTAGATAAGAGCTATCAGTGGTAGCTTTCCTATAGGATTCTATCGTGTAATCTGTTTTCCAGTCTAATGTGATTTGCGTTGTTTCACTCAAACCAACTTATTTCCATAATCGGTGTTGTAAGATGAATCACAGTCCACATTCCATGGTATAATGAATTAAGGATGTAATAGTTGCACTCAATCACATGCAAATTATTTTGTGGACCCTAGTTCACCTTACAAGATATACTAGGTTTCAAAATACATAATTTAAATAGTGAATGTTTACAATTTACATATATGCATGCATAAACGTGAGTTATTTAAAATAGCTTGATCACTACGAGAATTGTGGGGGTCATGTGGCTAGTTGATAATCAATAAGCTCATGAGACATAATTGTCAATTTATTGTGAGAGTCAGCTATGATGTGTGAATTAAATAATACATTAAATTTATTTATGATTGATAGTCAATAAAGATGAATGGACAAAATATGTATGTCATAATCTTTAATGTCTTTCACAATGTTGAAAAAATCGCTAGGCGCCCTCTAGGCGCCTAGAGACCGCCTAGGGCACCTAGAGCGCCTAGGCGGGCGCCTAGGCCGCCTAGGAGGCCGGGCGCCTAGCGCCTAGGCGCGATTTTTGCAACAATGGTCTTTCAAAACATCAATGTGTTATTTATTTCAAGATCTTGTATATATTGCAAGCATGAATTAAAATCACATTTATTGAAATGAATTTCGCATAGATATTGCTCAAGTTTTGTATTGATAATATTTGTATAAAGATAATAAACATATATCAAAGGCTTTAATTGCAACTTGTTGGTAGCATGGAAGAGTCATCATTCTTGAATGCTTTGACTAGGAAGATGGTTTTTAAGTAAATATCGGTTTCACCATTCGACCTGTGAGTTCAAGATTCGTTCACTCGCTAGATCGGAGTATACCATGTCTCAGTACGTGCCAGTTCAAGATTCGTTCACTAACACTTAAGTGTCAAATCTTTATGTCTCAAAGTCTTCCTTTTCATTCCCTCACATTTTGTGGGGGATTGTTGGGAAAAATGCAAGCCAAAAGAAAATTTTGTGGCTTCACTATTCCTAAATAATTATTCTTGGATTTATTTTCACCACTTAGTGAGTGGCCAAGATATGTTATAGCATGTGGTTCCACATTCACTTGCCTATACTATTTAAAGGAGAGCATAATTTGTTCAGACATAGATTATTTGTATCTTCTTGTTTTATTTTCACTCTGAGTATATTGTGTAAGTTCCAATCTCTGCTCTGGGTGCATGGAGACGAAGATTGTTGTGTTAACCTTTGGGGACGATGCTGCGATTGTGAGCTTGCATGCATCGATAGTGGCGAATTCAATTATGTGACAGTAATTATACTACGCACAACAGTTATTTATTTTCATTTTATCAGCTAATTTTTCCAACAAGAGTACCCAAAAAGAGGCCTAGGGGCTCCTCACAAGGACTTTTCTAGGGTTTGTGAACCCCATGATATCCTCGTGAACTGCTTTAGTCTCGTCGAGTGGAGTAGCATTGAACTCATTCCATGCACAATATTAGTTTTATGTAAGAACTAAAAATGATACATTTTTAATAGTAAAAGTTAAATTAAATTTAGTCAATTTTAAATTTGATAATTAAAAGCAAAAAATACAAGTATTGAAATTTATTTTTTTTTTTGGTGACGAGGGAAACTCGGAGTTACTACTCGTGGGTGTGCACAAGATAAAACTAAAAGTATCTTTTGGAGTGATGTTATATTTTAAAAATATAATGATACTAAAAATAAATATATCAGTTTGGAACACTTAATAAATAATTGTCAATGCAACTACAAAACTTCTTATTATATTCAAAGTTACTACATTTAATTTAGAGTTCTCCTAGCCATTGCTGCTACAAAAGGTTGGGAGCTTCACCAGTTGGATGTTAACAATGCTTTCTTACATGCAGATTTTAATGAAGAGGTGTATATCAGTATATGACTCTACCACCTGTTTTGGCACACTAAAATCTTTTTCTAGTTTAATCTGCAAGAAGGTAAAGTCTCTTTATGACTTCTTTGGCTGTATGTTACGTTGGGATCATAGGATTAATTTACACCAAGAATGCATGTATAACATATCTATGTATTATTGGATATGAAATAAGTGTCTAATTCATCATTCTCATGTAGGTTACATGGTAGTGCCCTATTCAATACTCATAAGTTACATGAAATAATGCACTACTAGCCATTAACTAAGTTACATTTATTAAAAAATATATTTTTTTTTTGAAACCAAAATCCAACAATTTGTACGTGAATGGCACTGTTTACTAGCTAGCTTTTGATGTCGATCAGACAATATAATATATGAGGTGCAGATGGGGTTTCATGTCTCATAAAATGGCAATGGAACCTCCTTAACTGCTCTGAACTTCCCAACGTTGTTCAAATGCTCATTCTCCAGCCTGTTAAAACTCATTTATTATTTGCAACTTTGATAAATATAATCATCCACTCTTAATTTTATATATATATATATATATATATATATATATATATATATATATATATATATATATATATTGCACGGAAATGAGTATGCCATTAGCATGCATATCCACTGCTGAAAATTATGGAATTTCCGACCACCTGAAAGTCATCTTAAATCAAGTCAAAAGGCCTTGTTCCGATCACTTTTGGTATCCGGAAAAACCTTTGTTGCTATTTCCGACCACTTTTTGCTTTCGACTTGATTTAAGATCACTTTCAGGTGGTCGAAAATTTCATAATTTCCAATAGTGATCTGATCTGTACTTTAGCATGTTAGGTACCTGTAGAAGTTCCAGTGTCCACGCCGAATGACCTCCAACGACGCCAACGAGAAGTCAAGTAGTCGCGATTCTAGCATCCCAACATTGAAACGCATCACGGTTTCCACCCAAGCTAGCCTCAACACCACATTCAACGCCTGCAAAGAAAACCCCAAATCTGTTCAGACCGATGAGCATACTATCAGTTTAAACTTTTAGTTGACACAGAACACATCTTTCAATTCAGGCAACAGAATGTATGTAGTGTAACTAGGCTAAGCTATAGCAATTTAGATATGTAATAATGTGGTATATATATACTCACTATTGATACATAGTAAATGGTCTTGTTCTTGAGTATGAGGTTGTCCCTGAGATAGGGATTTTTAGATTTGTGTGAGAAAAATCCCCAGTCCTTGACAAGATCCCAGTACAATTGGTAGATGGTGGCTATTACTGAAGTGGCTAACACAATTGCTAGCCAAATTTGTGAGTCAGGGTTTCTAGCATAGGTTAGCCTAGCGCAAACTGCAACCATGGCCGAAACATACTTTCCTAAGTTCGCCAGCTGATTAACGTCATTGTCGTCGAACCATTTCCTGCCACACTGATCATTACATTAAAAATAACATGTATATATGTGTTAGATCGAAGACCGTACCAAGAGCATTCACAGTCATGGATTTTGGGTACAGGTTTTTTAGTTACCTGCAAAGCACGCCAAAAGTATGGTGCAAAGGAGATAATGTAAGCAAACTCTCTGTAAATCTTTCCAGATTGGCAGGCCTGGGAATTGTATGTTTTGAAGCTTCCAGCAACATAGTAGCAAACGGTTGTTTCCATGTGCCTTAACAATGGGATCTATGAATTGAATGAACAAATATGTGATAGTGTTAGGAAAATATAATCAAATTGAGATCAACAAAACTCTTCCATTTTCCCCTGTCATCAACACTAAAAATTTAGAACTACTATACACAAGTAAGCCGTTGAGCGGAGGCCTAAAGGGTCAATTCCAGCACCTTGCCTTTCAAATGTAGATCTGGCAGCTAGACAGATATAAGGAAATAAAGTTGTGTCTTAAATATCAGTGGTTACCTGGCTAGTAAGTTGATCAGCCATGAAAAAATCTACCATCAAAACCTGCATCATATCATCCACAATAACAATAATGGAGAGTAAGTTGATCTGATATGCAGCCATTTTTACATTACTGGAAATTATGGAATTTTCGACCACTTTAAAGTGATCTTAAATCAAGTCGAAAGCCTTGTTCTGACCACTTTTGGTATCCGGAAAAACCTTTTGTTGCTATTTCCGACCATTTTTTGCTTTCAACTTGATTTAAGTTCACTTTCAGGTTGTCAGAAATTCCATAATTTCCAGCCAGTGTTAGTTGGATTAAACAAAATGGGAACCACCTTGTACAATGGAGAGCAGACTATATTTCGCATCACCCTAAGAAAGCAGAATCGCGTCGAACGATAGAATATATTCAATGGACAGGCAACCAATACCAGGAAACACTGCAAATTAAAACACATCTTTAATTTAAAAGTCATATTTAACTACAGAATTTAGTGAATAATCTCAGTGCTAAAATATTAGCCAGAAAGTTTGAAAATTGTTGAATGGCTAACCAGAAAGATGAATCCAGGAATGGCTTTGACTTGGTTAGGAGAAAATCCACTGGAAAGAAGAAGTAGGTGAAGAAGCATGGCCCCCATAACAAGAGTCATCAAAGAAGTGCAAATTAGGAAAGCATCCGAGTGTTTGAGGGCTGTGTTTGGTTGGAATTCAAATATGAAGTTGTAGTTGATCCTTGTCTTCTTCCATAGGTATAGATTGCACCCATACATGAACAAATGCAAGCTCAGCAAACCAAAAATGCTGCATGTTTAAGACAACCATATCCTTGTAGGTTTAATGTAGTTTGTGTAGCAATGGCATGCATCATGGAAACTATATATTGCTGATCAATGAAAAACATATACTTCAATTAAAGCCGTCAAAATGGGTTTTACCTGTCGGGTCCCCTATATGGGTAGGGATGGGCTTTGAATTTAGTGGCTCACCCCTAAGCGAGCCTGACACACCTATATATGTATATATAGGGTCCCGTTCAGGTGAGAACATGTGGTCATCTGTAGTAATTCACAGTAAGTTCTTCATGAATGCACAATAACTACTCCAGCTCCGTGACTACTATATGAATGCACCGAAACTACTACATAAATTCATGAATTTTACTACACGAATGCACAGTGCATTCACGCAGTAGTCACGTTGCTGGAGTACCATGCATTACTGAAGAAGTCCCTATGTTCTCACATTAAGAATGCTCTCACCTGAAAATAAATAAATAAAGCACAAGGTACCTGAAAACAGGGTATACCGTCTCCAAGTAACTGGCTTCTGTTCCTGGGGAGAACATGCCACTTAAATGTGCCAATATTCCATACACACTAAACAGTGTCATGAAACAACCTGTGAATAGTCCTGCACAATCACAAAAATAAATAAATAACATTAGTTTATGCCCATTATTCTATATAGTATAAGATAGCATTTGTTGATTACATCAATTTAGTGAAATAATCTATCCATTATAGTGCTTTCACTACTTTGCTTCTTCACTTCTAATTTTGTCCAATAATGTTTTTGACTATCAACTTTGTACATATTTTAATCATCCGATCAGCCGAATGACTAAAAATTAAAATAGGTACAAATTTAATAGTGAAATGTAAATATAATTTACCAGCAAAAAAGGGGACCATGTGAGAATCTTTGTGGTGGCGTTGAGGTATTAGAAACTTCATTGCCTTTTTTCTGTCATTATCGGCGTAGTGCTGTGTGAATATGGACTCTACTTCGTCCATTAACCCAACCACCTTATCAGAGCTAATGAAGTGTGATCTTTTTACTTGGCTCAAATAAGTTGTAGATTTTTGCTGTTTAGATACCTGCATGTTTTATTGGAAAAGGAAACCAAAATATATCTTTAAAGTTGCTTTATACCAAACAACTATCAACTAACAGCTAATTTACCAAGCACTTTTCTACAATCAGTTAATGTTATCAACTAGTTATACCCTCTAATTAACTCAATCAGCAAACGGACTCTCAGCTAACAACTATTTACCAAACAGGGCCTTAATCATTTCGTGCATTATATTACAACAACATTACCTTATCAAATTTCTTAAGGATCTTCACAAAAGCCACCATATTCAGAGAGCTGCCATACAAATCAGTTCATTATTAGAACTAGCAGGAATTATTATATTGGTTGAGAATCAAAGCATCTATACAACATTAGCCAAAATACAATATATATATATATATATATATATATATATATATATATATAGGGTCAGGTTCCTAAGAGGTCAGGTCTTCCCGTGCGGTCAGTGCGGCATACACCATTAGGTATGCATAAATGCACCACACTGTGTTCGTAAATACACCATTATGTATTGTGTATTTTTTTTTTTTTTTTGTGGTGTATTTTTTGACATTTCATTCTGCTGTCTAATGGTGTATGCCGCGCTGACCGCACGGGAAGACCTGATTTCACAGGAACCAAAATCTATATATATATATATATATATATATATATATATATATATATTAGATTAACCAGTGAACTAATTTCATGCCGCACGTTTTTTTTACTTAGTAAATGGTAAAACATCATTAACTACCACTAACTTGATGTTCATACAAATGTAATTAAATAGGAAATATATGCAAACTAGAATTACCGACTTGTACCCGTCCCAAACCTGATAGGCTGTCTATGATTGTGTATTGAAGCAATCATTATTGTGTAGACTATACTATCAAATAATATACATTCAATACACAAATAATGTACTTTCAATATATTAAAAATACACATTATATTCTGTGAAAATACATTATTTAAATATTAAAAGCATATTATTTTATATAATGTACATTCAGTACACAAATAATACACTTTTAACATATTAAAAATATACTTTTATTATGATACACACTGCACAATATATAATCGTAAACTCTTGGGAAACAAAGTTACCTGTATAATTTTAGTAACTTGAGGCCCCGGTAGAGTTCCACAAAAGCCCCTCTTATAATCTTTTCAGCACATTGGATTTTCTTCTTGCGGATATAATCTCTACTACTGCCATTATCCTTCTTATGATTAGCCTCACTTACCAAATCATCCCAACGCATAGACGTAAGAGCTGCGACGGTTTGTGCCGGCGTCGTCGCCGGAATTTCAATTCTCACCGCCGTCTTTTTGAACTTTGCCGCCGTTGATGATTCTTTAACTGATTTTATCCCCTCCTTTTCTAAGGTGGCAATCACGTCGTCTGCTGCACCTTCTGCCATGAGCATTGCAATTATGAAATAATTCACTTTTCTTTTTCTTACATAATAATTTTACAAGGATAAAAGAATGTAATGTGCCAAATATATATAACATTTTCTCATTATAAAGGAGAGTATTAAATGGGGACAAGTGGGCAACTCATCGAAGTGGTCATGTTGTTGATTTGATAATCATAAGATTACATGTTTGATTCTCAATCAGAGTGATTTCCTTAATTTAAACCAGGCAGTTATGGGCAACTTAAGTTAGTTTATTTTATTGTGATTTTTTTGTCAGCTAAGATCATACTCTTGAATAGTAGTTATGAGTTTTTCTTGTCAATAAAAAATAAGAGTATTAAATGACTTATTAATAGAAGGTAACGAGAATGCTATATTAGCTAATAGAAAATTAAGTGACGATCCAATTATATTAACTGATGAAAATTGAATTAGTCTACTAAAAAATCCATACTTGTACGAATTAAAAAATTACACAAACTTTTCATTAAAGTGATCTAGTCCTTGGTGGCTTCTGTTTGAAGCATTGTGGATTCCACCTATCTGAGAAAACATTCCCTGCTGGTTTTTTTTTTTTTTTATACGTTTTTTTCCTAGTTTAATTTGGGGAGTCCAATGACCCAAATTATAGTCTCAGAGTCAAAGATGTAGGTGGAAGTTGAATATTGGGCTAATCCTATCAAGCTTTGCACTTATTTGAACGAGCTCAATTAAAATTTTTGACATTTTTAAATAAACATTTTGCATTTTCAATTTTGATAAACTAGCACGTTTACATTAATAAATATAAACTTATACATGTCAAGTACTATGTAATGTGATGACACCTCCATTATCATTTCAAATGGGACACACACACACATCATTCAATCAATATAAACCTGCATTTCTAAATTGTAACTAAAAATAATTATTATATTTATATTATAATAATTAAAATAATTTTTTATTTTTTATTATTTATTTTCATACAAAATATTTTATTTTGCAATAAATTTATTAAAATTTTATTTATAAATTAATAAAAAATATTAATTAAAGATGAGTTTACATATAAATTCTCGGATCACACTTGTGTGAGTTCATCTCACGTAAGGATCCTTATCAGTGAGACGAGTCGGGTCGGGTCAATATGAAAATGTAATATTTATACTGAAAAATGTAATACTAAATCAGGAATAAAGTATTATTACATTTTGATGTAAAAGTATTATTTTTTGTATCAAAAGTATTACATTTTCCTTTATAAGTAGTGTTGGCAAGTGTTTGTTATTTATAAAGGCAAATGTAATACTTTTGAAAACAAAATGTAATACTTTAAAATCAAAATGTAAAAGTGTTACATTTTTTCTTCAAAAGTATTACATTTTCCCATATAAGTAATAAACATTTTATTCCTGATTTACTATTAGATTTTCTAGTATAAGTATTACATTTCATCTTGACTGGACTCATCTCATGGACAAGGATCCTCCATGAGACGTTTTCACACAAATTTTTGCCTAAATTCTCTCTCTATATATTTTATTCCATATCCCTTGTGAAATAAGAATAGCCTTAAGTGGCTCGAGCTACCGAGCTAACCCACTAAATTTCGGACTAGCCCCTTCTTTGGACCATCGAATTTATCAGTTTTGGGCTTATTATGTCAGATCAGTCTATTGATTTCGGCTTAAGATTAACATCTCAAAAGTCGAACTCCCATCATATCAGTGGAGTGTTGATTTTAATTAAGTGTGGTGGTCTATCACATGAGCTAGTCCCGCGGGTGACCACAACACTTTTATCAGTGGAGAAAACAATATTTCTCACGTTTTTTTACCAATATTTCCAGACATTGTCCAATGAAAAAGTTTTAGTTATTATGCAACAACAAATGAATTAAGGGCTTCTCAAAAAAAATAAAAATTGAATTAAGTGCTAGTGTGTTTTGAGTATATCAAGGGCGTGTCCACTCTACAATTGAAGGACGCAAATTTCTACTTTTGAGTTCAATTTTCACGGGAAATAATAAAAACTACGGAGTATTTAATATTGTAACATGTATTATAATTATTACACGTGTCCTCGTATTTTTTTGATACAACCTATAAGATTTTTTGCTTATATTTGATACAAATTGACACTTTGTAGATATTTTTTTTTATTATGTCCGATACAAATTGACATTCGTCAGGAGGTTAGTAATTAAGTGTCTCAAACAACTTGACTGATATTTAAATGGTAGATTATTGTGTAGACAAAGACTAAAGATCAAGATCTGGCGTCGCAATGTAGAGTTACTCTCAATTTATTGGACTCTTTATAGACAGCCTACAATAATCTTCAATCTTACTTTCTATCTAAAAGGCCGTTGATTTACTATGATTTATCATACTACTAATATGTCGGGCCGAGATTTCAAGACTCATGAAGTCAAGGATTTCACATTTTGTGGGCAAAGTTACTAATGAAGTTAATGGAGAATGAATGCCAAAAAATTACACTCCTTTATAGACAATAATCTATATATTTAGAGTTAGGTTGCTAATCACACAGGATGGAAAATACGATTCCCTGTTTGGTAAATGACTGTTAGCTGATTGGGTTAATTATAAATTGAGTATAACTTTTTTTTTTTTAAACCAACCAAACGATCTCATTATAATAACTCCGCAATACAATCTGGAGGTGCTTGAAGCCACTCTCCAATGACAAAGGAAGAACCAGCCACCCGTCCTAGCGTGTGAGCGATCTGGTTCGCTGACCTTTTGACATGGCGAACACTAACATTCGTAATGCCACTAGCAATTTCACGACACTGCTTCACTACCAAACTAACATAAGAAAACTCCTGTCTAGTAGAGTATAACTAGTTGATAACATTAGCTAATTATAGAGATGTGTTTGGTAAATTAGCTGATAGCTGTTTGGTATAATTTCTTTTCTCAAAAAGCTAATTGAAAAAAGTTGTTTTGAACTGCTTTTTAAATTTTAGCATTTTAGAGTTACAAAATGCTAATTAACCAAACACTTATATTGATTTTTTTAATCAAGTCAAATAATTAATAGGGATCAAATAAATCAAAATTAGTTGATAAGCTAATTATTTTATCAAAGAGTGCCTAAATATCTTCAATTATATGGACTTAGAAAGTTACAAGATTTTATGTGAATTTAAGTTTCTTGATTGGCAATGAGGAATATGGCTAAGTTATTTTTCAAACTTAGTACATGAGAATTAAATAACTATTAAAACCAACATGAGGGACAATAGCCATTGGTTACAATTAAAATTAGAGCTATCAGAAGAAAATTAGAGCTATCAGAATGGTTAAACTTTTTAGGCTGGATAGTCTCATCCCACAATAAAGGTGGACATACGGACTTTGATTTTTGAAGCCCATCAAGTGGCAACCTTTTGCGTGCTCTAGTGGTTCACCAAGCCGCTTAGTTCTTTTATTTATATGTATGTATATTTTAAAAAATGGATTAGTAATTAGTACATTATATAAACTAGTATTAGTATTTGTCCTGTGCGATGCACGAAAATAAAAATATATTCTAGATGATGTTTATTCATATATAAAATTTTTGTTATTTAATAATTATTATGTGTGAATTCCTATGATAAAATTATGAACATAAATATATTTACAATTAAAATAATATTTAAGGTGGGTGATTACTACAAATCTTAAACTATATTAAAAATTTAGTACATAGTATTTAATAATACAAATTTTTAAGAACTTAGTAAACTACAATAGTAATTGAATTACAATTTTAGAGTCACCACGGATCAAAATTTTTAGACCTTTGAGATTTCTAACTCTAGATGTAGCAACATACAATTGACATTTAAAGACCAAAATCACAATCTTAGTTCGAACATTGATTTTTTCTTCCAAATACTATCGAATTAAGTGTGTAATCAATAAAAGATGAGAACTAATAATTCGAGAATATAATCTTAATGTTACTAAGCCTACTTCACGTCAATTAAGTTGGATAGTGTTGTTGGATAGTATCCGATGAATCCACGAATAACGCATCTTTGTCTTCGATCGTAATCCTCAATATGCACATCAACAATCTTAAATATTAGGCCGCCTAGCTATGCCATATATTAATTTCAAACTTATGAACTTTGGGGTTGCATGCAATAAAAAAGTATATTTTAAATATACTAAGGGTACATTATATATGTATGTAAGGTACTTTCAATATAAAAATAATGTATTTTTAATATATTAAAAATGTATTTGATATTCATGATCCATACAATTATGTGGACCATACATACATACATACATACATACATACATACATACATACATACATACATACATACATACATACATATATATATATATATATATATATATATATATATATATATATATATATATATATATATATATATATATATATATCTACTATCTACTATACTAATAAGAGTCCAAGAGAGTTAGGCCTATAATGGGTAGAAAAAATGGCGGTCAAATTTTTTAATCAAATGAATGGCTCAGATTAATCAGATTTTAATTTTTTCTTAAGATTTCCTAATTTATCCTTAATGAATATGATTTTCCGTTAAATATTATCTTTTCCGTTAATTTCTGTTAGTTCACTGTTAACTTACTCATTGATTTTAATAAGAAAGGTCTTAGGTTCGAACCTCATCCCAATCAAAGTTGACATAATTAGTATTCCATTTTACTCGTATTAAATTAAATAATAATTTAGTAGCTATAACAAAAAATAATACATATGCATTTCTTTAATTTAGAATTATGTGTCTACAATGTCTTTATTCAAAAAAAATTATTCATTATCAATATATCAATATATTAAATAAGATAAATAATTTCATTAGTTATATTGTCTTTATTTTTCTCCAATATAAAAATTCTTTACATTCAATTTCATCCATTGATTATATTCGCTACATTATCCCTACAATGTCTTTATTAAAAAAAAAATCATTATCAATAAATTAATTAAGATAAATGATTTTATTAGTTATATTGTCTTTATATTTCTCCAATGTAAAAATTATTTACATTCAAATTCATCAATTGATTATATTCACTACATTGTCTATTATCTTTAATTTTTTGTGCACTATTTTTAACTAAATATCAAAGTTATAATACAAAATAATGCTATATATTTATTTACCAAGTATTTTATTAATACCATGAAAAATTAAAAAAATATAATTAATAAAGCCAATCATATTAACTACTTGAGGGATTTGTTGACAAAGAGAGTATTCAAACCACACAACAAAAAGTGAGAACTACCTCGCAATGTCCTTGTTTGACAATCAGCAGTTACCGGATTTGACCAGCGAATTATATCAACGGTTGGTAAAAAAATATTTGAAAAAATTAGCTGTTTAGATTAACAAGTGAAATGAGCTAAGGGTATACACATATTTAATAATAATAATAATAATAATAATAATAATAATAATAATAATAATAATAATAATAATAATAATAATAATAATAATAATAATAATAATAATAATAATAATTGTTTTAAAAAATAAAAAATAATAATATAATATAATTAAGTCAATCATATTAAGTATTTTGGGGATTTATCGACAAAAAAAGTATTCAAATCACACAACAAATTGAAGTACGAAACTAACTCGCAATGTCCTTGTTTGACAATTAGCTGTTAACTCTTCAATATTAGTATATATTTAATATTTTATGCCTTAATTTTTATTTGCTCTCCCTTATGTCCCGTATTTGGTTTCAATCATACATATACAATTATTTTATTGACAATTATAATCAATCTTGACTATACTACCTTGCATTTGTAAATTTAGAATTACCTATTTAAATACGCAAATTCGACATTCAATTATCCATGCATGAACAATTCTAATATAATCTTGCATTTATATACTTTAAAGTACTTATTTAAAAAAACACATTGGGCATTATCTCAATCGCACAATGCGCGTAAAAAACTAGTATATATATATATATATATATATATATATATATATATATATATATATATATATATATATATATATATATATTATCATTATTATTATTGTAATTATTATTGTTATTATTATTATAATTAACAATATTATTATGGTCTTGTAAAATTAGATGTTGATTATTACCATTTAATTTTTACAAGATGATATGACTTTATTATATATAGGATAGGATGATTTGTTATTGATTTATGGATTAATGAATTATTATATATTTGATTATTTATTATGATTTATAACTTTATTAATTATTACTGTATTTAACAAATGTATTAATTTTTTATTTAAACAAACCAAATTATTTGCGAGTTTGAGCCTCAGTGGAGGCGTTATTGGCTCGTTGTGCTTCAGTAGGTTGAGAAAGTAGCTATGAACAGATACTACATTGTAATAGAGTCAGTAGCATTCCAAAAAAAAAAAAAATTATTTTAATATGCACTTATTGGCCTTGTTCGGTAATCAGCATACTTTTATATAATAGATCCGTGTTTATCTTACAAGGTGGACAGGGTCCAATACGATGTCGTTCTGCAATTCAGAAGTAACGGTGCTGTTAGTGGCACCTAGGGGTGTAAATGAGCCAAGCGGCTCGCGAGTCGCTCGTGAGCGGTTCGGTCAACGCTCGGCTCGAACTCGGTCAAAATCGAGCTCGGGTCGAGCTCGAGTAGCTCGTGGATTAAACGAGCACGAGCCGAGCTTAGGTATTGTAGGCTCGCGGCTCGACGAGCCGCTCGCGAGCCTTATAATATATTATATAATATATAATATATAATATAATTATATTATATTTAGTATATAAAAATAATAATTAGGGGACGGAAATTAAAATACTTTAATAATTATGTATGGATAAAAATCATAAAATAAAGTAGTTTAAATTTTAAATCAAACAGATCAAATTCGAGATCAAAATTGAGCTCAAATTCGAGCCTAAACTCGAGCTCGAATTCGAGTCTGAACTCGAGCTCGAGTTCAGGCTCGAATTCGAGCTCGAGCTCGAGCAGCTCAACAATTGCCGAGCTCGAGCTCGAGCATCAATTCACGAGCTCGAACGAGCTCGAGCTCGAGCTCGAGCAGTGCTATCATTAACGAGCACGAGCATGAGCCTACCCAGGCTCGGGCTCGGCTCGGCTCGTTTACACCCCTAGTGGCACCGTACGTTTTCCCTCCACCAATCAGATTTTTCTTTTTTTATTTGTCAAAAGAATTCAACGACATCAAAAATTGTGAATATACTGTTACGTAACGGTGAATATAGAGTTCTGCAGTTATGAATATAGAATTCAAAAATTATGAATATAGAGTTCTATAATTATGAACATAGAGTTCAGTAATTATGAACATAGAGTTCAGTAATTATGAACATAGACTTCTAGAGTTCAAAAGTTATGAACATAGAGTTCTATAATTATGAACATAGAGTTATGTAATTGTGAATATAGAGTTCAATAATTGTGAATATGGAGTTCAAAAATTATGAACATAGAGTTCTATAATATGAACATATAGTTCAGTAATTATGAACATAGACTTCTTATGGAGTTCAAAAATTATACATAGAGTTCTATAATTATGAAAATAGAGTTCAGTAAGTATGAATATAAACTTCCTAAAGACAAACGTCGTTAACGGCGAAAGAAAGCAATTTTTTTAAATTGACACGACATCGTTTTCCATCAAAACGACGCCGTTTTAGAACTGTGTCCACCTTGCAAGATGGACACGGTTCCACATCATAATTTGCCGGTAATCAGCATATCAGATCCACCACTTTAGACATTTTGACAAAGTCAAAATACCAAAAAATTTATTTGGTAAACAATTATTTGAAGTGTTCCAAACCGCTGTAATTCTGAACGCTACTTTTAACATCATTTGGAAAACGAAATTTGTTTTCCCAAGACACCCATCCCATAAAATTAAAAATAGAAAATTAATTAGATTTCTAAAGAAGCCTTAGGACTCTACTTTTTCTACCCAATTAGCCTTAGACTCCTCAACGCCCGTTTTACCATTATTTTATTTTGTTATGTGGGATTGTTGAACGTTGGTCGGGTCATCCGAGTTCAGCCATGCTCGACTCAAGACATATATGGCATTGTGACTTACTATGAACGGATGTGGTTAAATGGTTAATGTCTACATACTTATCAGCAATTGGTTTTAAAAAAAAGATATGACAACCAAATAACTATAGAACTATGTGGTTAAGCGTGCTAAACTTACAAGATGGATGACTCATTGAGAAGTAAGCATTGTACAACGCTGAAATTCAACAATTGGAATCAGAATTGAGGTCGCGGGTTCGAATTGATGGCGAAACAGTAGCCGAGTTTAGTCCTAGATAAGAAGGACATAGGTCGGGTCAAGTCCAATTTTGGGAGGAAAATTAATTTGTGTTAAATGGTTAATATCCACACAATGTATAAGGGGTTTGTGACTCTCCTTTGTCCTAAACAAAGCCATTAACTTTTTTATATTAATTTTTTTTATTAAGTCCAAAGTTTTTAGAACTTGGTTAGCCTGTCATAGCAATCATTATGTTGTCAGTACGTGCCCACCTTGCAAGGTGAGCACGGTTTCATATCCTTAATTTCTATACTGTAGATTCATAATTTCTATACTATAGATTCATAATTTCTATACTGTATAGTTATCAAATATGAACATATAGTTCAATGATTTGTGAATACAGAGTTCAACAATTGGGAATATGAACATTGAAAATTATGATAATAGAGTTTTGTAATTGTGAATATAGAGTTCAATAATTATGAATCTATAGTATAGAAATTATGAATCTATAATATAGAAATTATGAATCCAATTCGGCACAATGTTGCTGAACATAATTTGTCCCTTGTCTAAGGGTGAGCTTTTAGTAGACCCCATTTCGTTGATCCATTTTGATGACTCTAATTCAGATATAAATTGAGATATGTAATAGAATGTAATTTTTGGTACTGACCAGAAAAATCGATGTTGTTGTCATTGTACAAGTTAGACGATGGTGAGCTCAATGGGAGACCTTTGCGGCGATCATTGAGGACTTGCTTGAGATCAAAGAGAACTTCAAGTTGATTGTTTAAAATCTCCCCTCTTTCAACAAACTCACCCTCTTTCATCTTGTAAAACTCATTAACTTTCTCCAGCTCCTCATCCAATTTTACAAAAAATCTTTTCACCTACACTTGCAAAATAAGCATGAGGGTAATACTTGCAGTAAAGCATATCATTAGGTTAAAAAAAATTAGTTTAAATAACATTTATGTAATTGCAAGTATAGAAATGGTGACAACTCTAATCAAGTTGACTAGACTGTTGGTTTGGTAATTATTATGAGGTTCTAAGTTCAACTCCCAGTGAGAGTGACTTATTGGCATTTTGCTTTTAATTTGAGCCGGTTACGGTATACCTCCTTGTAGTCCTTTGCTGGCTATGGTCATATAATAAGACATTGTTTGAGCTGGTCAGCTATGGACAACCTAGATTATTTTAGTTTATCTCCTTATCTTTTGTTGGCTTGGTCACAAGGCACCGAAATTTACCCAGTGCATAACATTAAGAAATAGTCACAGATTTCCTTGACAAAATAAACACAATTCCACAACATAACGATTGCAATTTTGGCCATGGTCCATGGTAAAATTTGCCTAAGTATTGCTCTGAGGGTTGGGCATGGGCTTGGGTTTGGGCCATGCCCACCTCTAAAACTCTATCCATTACGTTGGTCTCTTAATAATTAATATGTCATTGCTTTGTTTTGTTTTGTTTTTTTTGTTTTTTTTTTTTTTTTTGATTTTTTGGTTTTTTTTTTGGCTTTCTAGTATATTAAGACCATGTTTGATAACATAGTTAGTTTATCAATTATTTTTGATTTATTTAATCATTATTAGATGTTTGACTTGGTTTAACAATCAAATATAAGTGTTTGATTAATTAGTTTTTTGTAACAGTTTATTGCTCTAAAATGCTAAAATTAAAAAAATATTCAAAGCAACTTTTTCGAAAAGCTTTTTGAGAAAGTAATTTTGCATGTAATCAACTATCAGCTAACAGCTAATTTACCAAACATTTTTATACAATTAGTTAATGCTATCAACTAGTTAAATCCAATAATTCAATCAAGTAATAGCTGTTAGCTAACAAATATTTACCAAACACTTCCTAAATATTTTTCTCCCAGCAATATATTACCTCATCTTCCTCGGAAAATAGCTGAGCTAGCTCATTTTCAGGCTCATCATACGTTTCTTCTTCTCCACTGCCATTGTCATCTTCAATACCATTTCCCTTCACCTTTAAGGTTTCAAAATTGATTAGTATCCACCATAACATTTATTCTATTATTTATTTATTTATTTTTTTAAATCAAAATGATTATTGGTTAATGCTAACATTATCATTTGTTACAATTGTATCGTACAACATACAAGCTAAGCACATGTTCACAAATAAGTATTTAATTATTTACAAATTCTTGAAATTCAACGTTGTTGTCAAAACTCATTAATCTATCCATAGCCATCAAATAAATCTGTTTTAAATATCTAACAAAAATATTCACATTCATGCAATATACTTGAGGTGTAATTTGAATAAATCTTTTTTAATCTTAAATGATATTGACATCCCCACTGACTTCATTATTAAAGAATAATTGATATTTCTTTGTTACATATAATTTTAAAGAGTAAATATTTAGATGCTGTTAATCTGTCATAGTTTAGAAATGAGAAGGATGATAAAAAGTACTCCGTAGTAAATATCTGTTATCCTCTAATTCCCGGTGTCCTGGTAATTAACATGGAAACCTTTATTCAATTTCATGCGACGTTGCATTAATGTTTTGGTAGACAAAAGTCAAAAAGAAAAGAAAAGAAAAAAGAAATAATGAATAAAGAAAACTTCTCGCATGTCTTATGTCTACAACACTTAGTGCGGTGCATCAAACACTGAGAAAATAGAAAAGAAAAGAAATGTCCAATAAAAAGGGTGGTCGATTGAGTAGAGAATAATTTTTGTACTTAAAAATTATGAGTTCGATTCTTACTAATACTATCGTTGTCGAACTTGTAACACATAGTCTAACTATTGTGATTGACCTTTTTAGGAATTATAAGAGTAGAGTTTATTCCTTGCACCCTCCTAAGAAGTGGCTGAGAGTTTAAAAAAAAAAAAAAAAACAAAACAAAAAAAAAACAAAAAAAAAAACAAAAAAAAAAAAAAAAAACAAACAAACAAACTTCAATTTTAAAAATAAAATTGACTTTGTCCCAAAACTTAAAGGGTAATCATATTTCGTACGAATTTTTAGAAAGCAACTAAAACGTAAAGAAAAATGATAAGTATTTCTTATCAATTGGTCTTGTGTGAGAACACCTCATATGACATGTGTAATTCTTATTGTTCAATCAATACATATTACTTTTAGACAAGTTAAACAAATATGATAAATAAAATGAGATGGAGAAAGTAATAAAATAGAATAAATTAATATCTTATTCGAAATAAAATGGGATGAATGAAGAAATATGTATTCTCTTTATTAAAAGAGTTCCCCCCCTCGTTTAATTCCTGAGAAAAGGAAAGTTAAAAACTTAAACGGTACAGGTGATTCGTAAATTCAATACCTGAATTCTTTCGTCGGGATTTTCGACGGAACAACGTTGAAACTTGTCGGAAATTTTCTTGACTAAAGCACGCATGGGTTCGAAAATGGAGAGGCCGGCGTCGGAGTTTTGGCCTTCGACATGTTTGCGTTCTCTTGCAACCTTAATTTTCTTGATTAGTTTCTTTAGCTGCCAATAGTTTAAGAAAGCGTCCTTCCACTCGGGTATAAGTTGGGCTTCCAGCTCTTTCGAGAATTTCACCATTGCAGAATTAACAGAGAAAAAAAGGATGATGAGGAAATGAAGTAGAATAAGAAGGTCTAGTGG